TTGGTTGGTTGGTTGGTTGGTTGGTTGGTTGGTTGGTTGGTTGGTTGGTTGGTTGGTTGGTTGGTTGGTTGGTTGGTTGGTTGGTTGGTTGGTTGGTTGGTTGGTTGGTTGGTTGGTTGGTTGGTGGATGATTTTGTTGTTGGCTGATTTGTTGATTAAGCTGACTGAATCGTTGATTGGCTAATTATTTGGTTGGTTCATGGTTTGGTTGGTGTCTCTGTGCCAACGCAAAACCACGCAAAATATCCACCTGTGTTCCTTGTGAAAAACAAATTAAACAGACTGCAATCTTGACAAAGCCAATAGCACGCACACGCATTGACTACACAAGATAGCCATGTGACGTGCTAAACCGAACATGTCACCACCATAATTGCAGTTCATCGTCGATGAAAGCAGCAGTTCCAACGAATCGAATTTTGTGGCAACAGGTCACTCTCTATTTCTGAATCAGCAGTTCACTACACAAACCACTTCAGGCGCAGTCGATAAGCATTTGAGCTCACAGTGTCGGGTCATGCACTCAACTTGACCGTCCTGGACCAACAACTAATGAAAAGTTAAGTTTAGGGATTGAAATTTTCTGGAAGCTGACAATTATAATTCATTAATTGGTGAGTTGCCTGATGCTGATGAGTTGAGAATCCCTGTGTAGCCTGATGCTGAGCTCCAAAGTATGATGCTTATTATCTGAGGTTGCCTAATTCCCGATCACGACGTTTACATATCAAAAGGCAGTTTGTGAAAGTCGGCGTTTGTGGTATGGGCGTTACTTATACCTTTCAGATATTTCTCTGTCAACAGAAGGAGGCCAAGAGGATAAGGACTACTTGAGTAGCTGGATACAAGATTCCCGTCGGTTGTGTGAGGAAAATAGTTCCTGTTGTCTGCTTCTGGAAAACTATGCAGTTTTAAAATAAAGGTGATTAGAACTGTTCAGTGTTGCGCCAGACTAAACTTAGTTGCTAAAATCACAGTAAAACAAAAGAACTAATAGCATGTACAGCCTAGGGAGATAGGAGAACTAATAGCATGTGCAGCCTAGGGAGATAAGAGAACTAATAACATGTGCAGCCTAGGGAGATAAGAGAACTAATAGCTTGTGCAGCCTAGGGAGTCAAGAGAACTAATATCATGTACAGCCTAGGGAGATAAGAGAACTAATAGCATGTGCAGCCTAGGGATATAAGAGAACTAATAGCATTTGCAGCCTAGGGAGATAAGAGAACTAATAGCATGTGCGGCCTAGGGAGATAAGAGAACTAATAGCATGTGCAGCCTAGGGAGACAAGAGAACTAATAGCATGTACAGCCTAGGGAGACAAGAGAACTAATAGCATGTGCAGCCTAAGGAGATAAGAGAACTAATAGCATGTGCAGCCTAGGGAGTCAAGAGAACTAATAGCATGTACAGCCTAGGGAGATAAGAGAACTAATAGCATGTGCAGCTTAGGGAGACAAGAGAACTAATAGCATGTACAGCCTAGGGATACAAGAGAACTAATAGCATGTGCAGCCTAGGGAGTCAAGAGAACTAATAGCATGTGCAGCCTAGGGGGTCAAGAGAACTAATAGCATGTGCAGCCTAGGGAGACAAGAGAACTAATAGCATAAAAGCCTAGGGAGATAAGAGAACTAATAGCATGAAAGCCTAAGGAGACAAGAGAACTAATAGCATGTACAGCCTAGGGAGTCAAGAGAACTAATAGCATGAACAGCCTTTTGAGACAAGAGAACTAATAGCATGTGCAGCCTAGAGAGTCAAGAGAACTAATAGCGTGTGCAGACTCAAGGGATGTAACGAAAATATAATTACGTAATGTTTTCTTATGTTGAATGACAGTAATGAAATTATCCAGGTCTACAAACAGAGAGAAAGCTAGTTTCCCCTCCTCTGGTTGAAACAATTTAATAAAGGAGTTGATCGAAAGATTAGAATGTTGCTATCCAGGAAAACAAGCACTCTTGAATAGGAAAACAATTGTTGTAAATAAATATCACATTAGTGTATTAAAAGATCTTGGTCGCAGGCGGGAAATGGATGTAATAATAAACATTGTGTTATCTTGTCCCAGTACTGTGTCAAGTCAGTGGTAGTATTTCTGGACCGTCTCCTCAACCCCCTCCCCCCTCCACCCCCACCCCTCCAACCTCATAATTTGTAACTCTTTCAGACCCATGACTTGGCTTACATTATTATCAGTTTCTAAAAATGGCAGAGAGAGCGGTATTAAAAAAATGTTATAGAGAATGTAATATACTTCTAATCCCTACAAAAGCGTGTGTGCGTATGTGTGCGTGTGTGTGTGTGTGTGTGTGTGTGTGTGTGTGTGTGTGTGTGTGTTGGCACCTTTCCGTCATTTCATATAATAGTGTTATGTTGTACTATGGGGAGGCATGGGACAACGTTTGTCCTCTTTATAGCACAAAGCCTGGACAGTATTAAAGATATCATTTGTTGCCCGTGCATTATGATCCCTCGCTCGACCTGCCTTGTTCACTTTAAAGGAAAGGTAACACCAGTAAGTTTAGAACAAAGCAGGCTGCATAAGCTGCCAGACCAGGAGAGCAGTGCTCTGACTGCCTGTCGGAGCCTCCTAGATAGCTGCCAGCCAAGGCTAAGAGCCTGGTCTACCTTGTCATAACCTACAGTTTTTAGGTTGCATTTCCTCTTCCTACGATAAGGCTAGTCGAAGCCGTTGGCACAATATGGGATGTTAGATTTGGTGTACGCCGCCCAGCATTCGGTTTAACAGAAGACAGGTTGTACCGGCTACTGTTATACGGTCGCTCAGTCATATATGACCAAGATTATAAATATATAGATATATTGAGGAGGAATGAATGTTTAACAGCTAGATGTCATTAACTGCGTATTAGCTGAATGGACTCAAAAATCGACAAGTCTTAGAAGACTTGACATTCCCTTTCTAGAACCATCATTTGTTTATTAGCAGAGATGTTTGCAAATGAATAAGCTAGATATATAAATAGCATCTAATGCCATCTTTTTGATGTGCCCTAACAGAGAGAGAGAGAGAGAGAGAGAGAGAGAGAGAGAGAGAGAAAGAGAGCCTTTTCGTACTCTCTTTTTAGAAGATCAACTGTCAGCACAGTTAGTGTATACTGAAGTGTAGAACCAGATGATGCAATTGATGCACACTTAGAAAGTCCCACGTAGAGAACATACAAAGTAAACAAGTTTTAGAAAATAATAATCTTCCTAAACGGCTTATTGAGTAGAAAACACATTTTATACATGCCAGCATCTCTGTATAAATAGGGGGTTAGAAACCACTTGAGCAAGCTTCAGTCCTCGAGACTTGGAAGAAGAGGGAGTAGTCATAAGGTTATTTTTGGAAAAAGTCCGGCTCCGCCAGGGAGCGAACCCACGACCTTCCGATCCGCGGCGAGCGTCTAGCCGCTCGGCCACGGCGACTCTCTTAACACAGATATAGTCAGTAGAAAAGAAGAATTCGGCAAGAGTTAAGTTTACAAAGTCACAATTAAACCCCCAAAAAATGCATCACTTACCATGGTTTTGGAGCCACAAGAAGAGTGACTATCCACATTTCAGAATAACACTTTAAAGTCGGTTCCGTTTTATAAAACATTTCTAAGTTATGATCGGTTTCTAGGTTAGTTTAGCACTCGGAGGCTCTAAGTTCTTACAGAGTGCTCAACAAAATATCAAAGAAAGAATTGCTGAACAATAGACCAATACAGACAAAAAAAGCAGATCAATATTTTCTTAGTGTCGACACCCCATGGGGCTAGCACAGTATACCCATGATGCATCAAGGTGGGAAACAGTCCTGACTATAGCACAGCCTAATAAAACTAACAGGCACATAAAACATTCCCAAACTCTGGCTTAATCCAGTAAGCAAAAGAAAAATGAAAATACACGATCGTTGTGTAGATGATCTCTCACCTGTGTATCATCCTCTTCCCCTATAGGCTCCGGAACTCCATGGCTCGGGCACCTTTCTATCCTACTTTGAGAGTAGTTACTGTCCTAATTATGGTACCTCACTGTGTACACAACTCCCTATGATGTTGACCAAATCGCTCGCAGAATATCCTTTAGTTTATACAATATACGTCAAGCCATAAAGGCCTAAAAGGGAGTCGCCGTGGCGTTAGCGCCCAGACGACCACCTGAGAATCCAAAGGTCGTGGATTATTTACTTTATAATAGGCCCAATACGCCTGAAGATGTGAAAAACGGTCCTTTGTTTACTTTTAAACTGTTTCCCATGATGCAGCGTGTACACATACAGAAGTTGTACACTATTTGTGTACAGAGAGGAAACGAATTCTGGTACTGATTTACACAAGAAATAAACTATCATTTATCAAGCCCTGTAGAAGAAAGATACAACAGTATCTGCGTGAGGCATATACAACATTATCTGCGTGAGGCATAAACAACATTATCTGCGTGAGGCATATACAACATTATCTGCGTGAGGCATATACAACAGTATCTGCGTGAGGCATATACAACAGTATCTGCGTGAGGCATATACAACATTATCTGCGTGAGGCATATACAACATTATCTGCGTGAGGCATATACAACAGTATCTGCGTGAGGCATATACAACAGTATCTGCGTGAGGCATATACAACATTATCTGCGTGAGGCATATACAACATTATCTGCGTGAGGCATATACAACATTATCTGCGTGAGGCTTATACAACATTATCTGCGTGAGGCACGCAGATGTAAAACTAGATAAAGAAACTAGCATCGTATAGGAACATTTTAAGCAAGAGAGACAGAAATATACAAAGAAAAATACACACGGAAGCGTAAATTCCTAGACAACAAATATTTATGCAAAACACAAGGCACCTGACGATGTTCACCAGGAAGCCGAAGGAAACAGCTGTGGATGAGAAGGAGAGGGTAGTCAAGGAAGAGGATTATGAAAGTTAGGGGAAAGAGGATACAGATGATGAGGACTAGGAAGAGTCTAACTGGGTAGACACTACCTGGTGTCATTAGTGTGAGGAAATATGTGATGATAATCGGACAAGTCCATGTGTAGATGACCTGTTTGAAGCTCGAGGAGCACGCGTTCAAAGTACCACTGCTCCAGACAGGAGTAGCCCACAGGCCTGAAGCTGGCCTTGAACTTGTTTGCCACTAGCTGCTTAGAGTTGGTCAACAGAGTTAGCTCTCGAGCCGTCAGTAGACAGACGAATCTCTGGTACATGCTGCAGTAGGGCCAGGTGCTCTTGTGTCTGTCCTTCCATAGCTTGACTCTTGCGATGCTTCGTTTCCGGATACGAGGATCTGACGAGAATAAATTAAAAAAAAAAAAAAGTTTCAATTGTTAAATGTGTGCTGCCATCCCTTGTAATTACATTTTTAATTAACGATTCCAATGAATTCAAGGTGCGCTGAAAAGCTAGACAACATATAGCCATAAATGATACTGTGCGTCATTGTGTGTCAATCAGATACTTACCTGGGCGGACAACTAACATGGTGACGACTAGACTGTCACTTGTACAATAGAAGGGCTACATGTGAGTTACCTTGGATGAGATGCTGTTGCTGTTACTAGTTAGTCTTCAAATCCTCAAGTCTTCTTATACGCATTGGTGGTTCATATTTGTCGCAAGATCGGTGGTTTGTTTCATAATTCTTTTCAAGCTGTACTTTTTTATTGTTACAATCTAGTTTTGCAAAAATGTATTTTTGCATTTACTGATGTGCAAAAAATACTGTAATTTCATTTCTCTTGAAACATTCGCCCGTCTTCATTCAATTGCCTTTTCCTCTTAATTAGAGCAGCACTAGAGACTTTAAAGATGAAGTGGGATCTAAACTTTACAGAAATAAAAATACAAATACAATCACTAGTAACAAAACAAAAAACAAAAATATTTCAGTAAACTATATAAAGCTAATGAATCCTTTGTGCGGGCCGCATATGTGACCTGGCTGGGCTAGATGATGCAGTAGGGTACACCAATAATTCTTCTTGCTGGGGTGAAAGACCTTTCTGGGGTCTCTCAGCAAGAGTGATGGAAAGATCTTGGCGGCCAACAATAGGGCTCTTTTATCTACAAGATTAGGCATGAGGATAAAGGTGGCGGCAATTTCTGCAGCTCTGACTTGAATAACAGAAAGATTTACCAGAGAAATTATTGTTTCTGATTCTCAGTCTATGCTGCGAAAATTCCAGAATAGACAAATGTGGCATGAGTGGGTACCAAGCGTCAGCGGGTCAACTTTGAAGGGAATCAAGTGGATATACTGTCGGAGAAATAAGGGAGTGCGAGGGAGTTAAAAGGCGGATATTGTTGCTGCAAAAGCGATAACTACGAGAACACTTCTACTGGTCAAAAAATACATTCTGAAGACCAAATCTTTGAACGAACGCTGGTAAAAGACACGAGGTTAGCTGAAATATCAGGTGTAAGAATGTGTGAGCGAGTAATTAGAAGTGTTTTTTCGGCAAGGAGGAACGTATGAGATGGAGAGAACGACGTGTGTATAATCAGCGTTGAATGGAAACATTTAGCATCTACACCAAAAAACATTTGCTGCAGAAGACGTGGGCATCTATGAGTATCGGGAAAGGAGTGTATTGTACTGTTTCTCTGGTAGAAACCAGGTCGTTTTCTAGCACTCACAGAAGAGACCACACGTGGGCTTTCTCCGGTCCATATTTGCAGTTCCTCCACACATCAGTTACCACAGTGTAACAACTATTGCGCAGTTAACAGGTGCAACGAACTGCAAGACATGGACACCTTTGACCTATGCCCTAAGCGCCTTCTTAGGCTCAAGAAGAAAGCCTAACTAGCACAAGATCTAAGGGAGACCCTAGTCCATTCCCACTGACGGTCATCTGCTGAAGGCATGTGTCCATTTTCATGCTTTAAAACCATGACCAGCTTTTCATAGTTCTTTACAATTCAGTGATTTCGCAATGTTGTCCTATTGTTTGATGTCCTAAATGTTATTGCTTTTTATACCCTTTCTTAGTTCAGCTCTGACTTGGAAAAAACTAAACATTCGATTATGTTTAATAATTCATATGGGATAGTCTTCTTCTTTTGTCAATATCTGCCTATGCCGTTCATGAGACGTTAGGCAGCTGCGCACTCGGTCGCTTGAAATGCTGTGATCTTATAGAACAATATAACTAGAATGTTACAGCAGTGAAACCCCCAGAGGCACATAAATAAAGGAAGATCAAAGACCACACAGAGAAGGGAGTAAGATTGTGAATTTAAAAAGATGGGGAGGATATTTGGAGAGCTGCACGTGATTGCGAAGGATAGAAAGACTTGGCGTAAGATGGTAGAGAGCTTATGCTCCATTAGGGGCTAGAAAGAAGAATAAGAAACAAATCTAGTACAAAAATAAGAAATGAGGGCGTTCTTCGGGAAGGATACCAGCCTTTGCCTAGGTAGAGGAAATGCTACTTGAAAACTGTTGGTTATGGCAGAGCAAACTATGTAGGCTCTCGTCTTGGCTGACAGCTGGTCTAGGAGGGAAGCTCTCATAGGCTGACACACAAAGCAGTTCTCTTCTGCAGCGTTCTTCGTTGCCAACGTATTCCTCCTTTGGCGTAAAGAAAGCAGACCCCGGGGAGATCATGATGCATGGGTAACACTTTGTCTCCGCAGTTCTGCCCCTGGTTTAGTGCTCAGAAAGGTCCTGAGATCAAATGCTCTAATTCTTGAAGACTTTGTCTTGCTAGTCATACTCATCATTGACATGGGTTGTGATTCGCAAGCCTCCCTCGCTGCACAATATAACACTAACGTCTGGAAAGACATTAGGGCGCCAAAGAAAAAGAAAAACAGAAAATAACATTGCAACAGATTGTTAACACTGAACCTGGATTTGAACCCGGAACTTTCAGGTGAGGGTTGCTGTTGATTGTTGAGAAAAACAATTCGTCGGGCATAAAGGCTTTGCTAATCCACTGATAGAGCTCCTTTGCCACAGGGTCATGTAGTATATAGTCGACAGCGTCACGGGAGAGAACTGCGTGGATCTGCCCCTTGAAGGGGTGAATGTTGTAGGGGGCTGCAGTGAGGTTTTCCCAACGTTCAGCGAATCTGCAGACACCAGAGCAACAATCGTCATCAGTAACACTATCACATCATAAACATATCCTCATAATTTCATCATGACCAGTATCATCATTCTAGTTATTATTATCATCTTCATCAATATCAACAATGTCATATTAATCATCATCATCATTCTCATCAGTATCACTATCGACATCATCCGAAGTCGATAGGATACTTGCTTTTAAAACCAGCTTCGACTCGCTGCAGCCCACGGCCAGTGTTCGAAACCGGACGGTTCCCGGGGTTCACCCAGCCTCTAGGAAATAGTTATCTGCAAATAACTGTTCACTCCAGGGATTTAAAAACCATACATTATTTGTATATTCGTCATTAAAAAAACTAGAGCTAATTGGTAACTTTCCTAATCATATTTGAAATCAGCATCTCACAAATCAATCAGAAATTATGTATCTAAATTATGGTACAAAAACCTTTTGAAAATGTATTGACCAGTGTTTCATAGGGAATTATAGAACGTATGTGGCTAGCATGATATTTACCACACATCCATCGAGTTTCGATTGCTGTACACAATTGTGTGGCTGCAAGCAATTGTCAGTTATTTGTACGTTACACAATTTACTTACCTGTGCATACGCAGAACAGAAGAAACAAAACGTGTATGGCTTCATCACTTTTGTGTAGCTTTTAGAGAATACCAATATACAAAGGGATCAGCTTAACTTCCTTCTCAAAGCAGTAATGAAAGGAACAATTGGTCGGGACGTAGTGGAAGAAAAAGCACAGTAGAATTAGTAGAAATGGTGACAGTAATAGTAGGAGGGGTAAAAGTAGTAGGAGTAGTAGCAGTAGTAGTAGTCTAATAGTCTAAGTAGTAGTGGTAAGTAAAGTAAAAAAAAAAAGTAAAGTTCCCTTTTCACGCCTTTCGGCGCATCGGGCATATGGGCAGAGCGGCCCATATTTTTACAGACTATCAGCACTCTGTGGGTAATGTGGTCAGCATTACGCCAGCCGTCTTTACTTTCCCAGGACAGCCCATCCTGGTACCCATTTTAGGCTGGGTAGACCTGCGACGTCCCATACCACGACAAAAATCCACGCAGCCTGCAGTGGGTTTCGATCGCGGTATGCTGGCTCACGAGTCGGACTCGCAACGCCTTAGCCACAGACGCCGCAAATAGTAGTGGTACTCGCAGTAATCATCGATGTAGTTGTAATAATAATCCAAGTAGAAAATTTAGTAGCAGAATGTGTACTAGTAATAGTAGCAATAATAGTAGTAATAGCAGCAGCAGCAGCAGTAGTAGCAGTAGTAGTAGTAGCAGAAGTAGTAGTAACTGTTGTTAATATTGTGGTTGTTTTGTCAATAGGTATATTTGCAGTTGTTCGTATTGGTTTAAGAACTATTAAATAAACAACTAGCCATGGAAACCACCTTAATTACCCCTTTTCGCTGAGAAATATACAGTCATTCGATGTCCAGTTGCCCGGCCCGTCCAGCGTGCAGGGGTCTAGCCAAACATCATTCCGTCCAGCCATGATCTTTAGTATGTTGACCAGCTCCAAATTTGTTCTCAGTGGAAACTCCTCTCCGGTCAGGTTTATCAGGATCAACCACTTCATCTGAGTCGCAAAAAACATGTGTAAGGGCGAAACATTTCTTTCCAGAGCCATGCCACCGGAGTCATAACAAACACAGTCAATAGAGATCCATGCCACCGGAGTCATAACAAACACAGTCAATAGAGATCCATGCCACCGGAGTCATAACAAGCACAGTCAATAGAGATCAATGTCACCGGAGTCATAACAAACACAGTCAACAAAGATCCATGTCACTGGAGTCATAACAAACATAGTCAATAGAGATCCATGTCACTGGAGTCATAACAAACACAGTCAATAGAGATCCATGTCACTGGAGTCATAACAAACATAGTCAATAGAGATCCATGTCACTGGAGTCATAACAAACACAGTCAATAGAGATCAATGTCACCGGAGTCATAACAAGCACAGTCAATAGAGATCAATGTCACCGGAGTCATAACAAACACAGTCAACAAAGATTCATGTCACTGGAGTCATAACAAACACAGTCAATAGAGATCCATGTCACCGGAGTCATAACAAACACAGTCAACAAAGATCCATGTCACTGGAGTCATAACAAACACAGTCAACAAAGATCCATGTCACCGGAGTCATAACAAGCACAGTCAATAGAGATCCATGTCAACGGAGTCATAACAAACACAGTCAATAGAGATCCATGTCATCGGAGTCATAACAAACACAGTCAATAGAGATCAATGTCAACGGAGTCATAACAAACACAGTCAATAGAGATCCATGTCACTGGAGTCATAACAAACACAGTCAATAGAGATCCATGTCAACGGAGTCATAACAAACACAGTCAATAGAGATCCATGTCAACGAGTCATAACAAACACAGTCAATAGAGATCCATGTCAACGAGTCATAACAAACACAGTCAACAAAGATCCATGTCACTGGAGTCATAACAAACACAGTCAACAAAGATCCATGTCACCGGAGTCATAACAAACATAGTCAACAAAGATCCATGTCACCGGAGTCATAACAAACACAGTCAATAGAGATCCATGTCACCGGAGTCATAACAAGCACAGTCAATAGAGATCCATGTCAACGGAGTCATAACAAACACAGTCAATAGAGATCCATGTCAACGGAGTCATAACAAACACAGTCAATAGAGATCCATGTCACTGGAGTCATAACAAACACAGTCAATAGAGATCCATGTCACTGGAGTCATAACAAACACAGTCAATAGAGATCAATGTCACCGGAGTCATAACAAGCACAGTCAATAGAGATCCATATCAACGGAGTCATAACAAACACAGTCAATAGAGATCCATGTCAACGGAGTCATAACAAACACAGTCAATAGAGATCCATGTCAACGGAGTCATAACAAACACAGTCAATAGAGATCCATGTCAACGGAGTCATAACAAACACAGTCAATAGAGATCCATGTCAACGGAGTCATAACAAACACAGTCAATAGAGATCCATGTCAACGGAGTCATAACAAACACAGTCAATAGAGATCCATGTCAACGGAGTCATAACAAACACAGTCAATAGAGATCCATGTCAACGGAGTCATAACAAACACAGTCAATAGAGATCCATGTCAACGGAGTCATAACAAACACAGTCAATAAAGCCATGACACCAGAGTAATAAAGAACATGTTTAGTATAAAGCCATGACACCGGAGTAATAAAGAACATGTTCAGTATAAAGCCATGACACCAGAGTAATAAAGAACATGTTTAGTATAAAGCCATGACACCGAAGTAATAAAGAACATGTTCAGTATAAAGCCATGACATCGGAGTCACAAAGAACACAGTCAGTGGAAAGCCACGTCACCAGAGTCATAAAGAACAAAATAAGTGGAAAGCCATGTCACCGGAGTCATAAAGAACATGTTCAGTATAAAGCCATGACACCGGAGTCATAAAGAACAAAGGCAGTGGAAAGTCATGTCACCGGAGTCATAAAAAAACAAAGTAAGTGGTAAGCCATGTCACCGGAGTCATAAAGAACAAAGTAAGTGGAAAGCCATGTTACCGGAGTCATAAAGAACATGTTCAGTATAAAGCCATGTCACCAAAGTCATAAAGAACACAGCCAGGGGAAAGCCACGTCACCAGAGTCACAAAGAACATGTTTAGTATAAAGCCATGACACCGGAGTCATAAAGCACACAGTCAGTGGAAAGCTATGTCACTGGAGTCATTCAAAATAAACTATTGGTACACAATTTACTTTGACTGACTCCGACATTAATTCTCTGACACGATGTGCAAAGTGTCAGTTGGCCTAAATCGCTCAAACATTGTGTCTTACTCTACCTTTCAGTTGTGATCTTGAATAAACAAATAAGTATACCATCATAGTTTATGTACCATTTATTTGAATTATAGAGTTTTGAAACCACTAAACCGTTGCGTTGAGTTGGTTAGTTAGTCTTTGCTCTTAAGCCTAAGGCAGCGCAGAGGGCAAAGGTCAAAGCTCTCCATTTTTGGCAGTTATTGGCCATCTGTTTTTGGTCTTGGATGTTTGTTAAACCCATGGTTAAACATTCCCTGATAATGATTTTACGCAGTGACTCTCTTGATCTTGCTGGTTTTCTTTTCCCTTGCGTTGAGTAAGATTGTAAGCATAGTACCATGTTACTTGACTGACGTGATATGTCACTCACCCACAATAAAGTATTGACGTGAAATGTCATTCACCCACAATAAAGTACTGACATGAAATGTCACTCGCCCACAATGAAGTACTGACGTGAAATGTCACTCGCCCACAATGAAGTACTGACGTGATATGTCACTCACCCACAATGATGTACTGACGTGAAATGTCACTCATCCACAATAAATTACCGACGTGAAATGTCACTCATCCACAATGAAGTACTGACGTGAAATATCACTCATCCACAATAAAGTACTGACGTGAAATGTTGCTCATCCACAGTGAAGTACTGACTTGAAATGTTACTTATCCACAATGAAGTACTGACGTGAAATGTTACTCATCCACAATGAAGTACTGACATGAAATGTTACTCATCCACAATGAAGTACTGACGTGAAATGTTACTCATCCACAATGAAGTACTGACGTGAAATGTTACTCATCCACAATGAAGTACTGACGTGAAATGTTACTCATCCACAATAAAGTACTGACTTGGAATGTCAGTCGCCCACAATGAAGTACTGACGTGAAATGTTACTCACCCACAATGAAGTACTGACGTGAAATATCACTCACGTACAATGAAGTACTGATGTGAAATGTCACTTACAATAAAGTACTGACGTGAAATGTTACTCACCCACAATAAAGGACCGACGGGAAATGTCACTCACCCACAATGAAGTACTGACGTGAAATATCACTCACCCACAATAAAGTACTGACTTGAAATGTCACTCATCCACAATTAAGTACTATTTCATAACAGGTTATTTCAGTATTAAGTCTAAGACTACTGTCAAATGAATCACCATTCCTTGAAATCACAGATATATGAACTTGGGAAACCACCTAGTTACCTGGTGCCTCCACAAGGCCCTCAGACAAACCATCGAGTTACCTGGTGCCTCCACAAGGCCCTCAGACAAACCACCCAGTCACCTGGTGCCTCCACAAGGCCCTCAGACAAACCACCCAGTTACCTGGTGCCTCCACAAGGCCCTCAGACAAACAACACAGTTACCTGGTGCCTCCACAAGGCCCTCAGACAAACCACCCAGTTACCTGGTGCCTCCACAAGGCCCTCAGACAAAACCACCCAGTTACCTGGTGCCTCCACAAGGCCCTCAGACAAACCACCTAGTTACCTGGTGCCTCCACAAGGCCCTCAGACAAACCGCGCAGTTACCTGGTGCCTTTACAAGGCCCTCAGACAAACCACCCAGTTACCTGGTGCCTCCACAAAGCCCTCAGACAAACCATTTAGTTACCTGGTGCCTCCACAAGGCCCTCGGACAAACCATTCATTTACCTGGTGCCTCCACAAGGCCCTCAGACAAACCACCCAATTACCTAGTTGCTTCACAAGGCCCTCAGACAAACCACCCAGTTACCTGGTGCCACTACAAGGTCCTCAGACAAACCACCCAGTTACCTGGTGCCTCCACAAGGACCTCAGACAAACCATCCAGTTACCTGGTGCCTCCACAAGGACCTCAGACAAACCATCTCGGCCTCCAAGGTGCTGGGACTTGCCCACCAAACGCTGATGGCGTCCTCGGGCACAAAGACATTTTCGAAACAGGATGTCAAATTGTAGACGGCTTCCTGCAGAAAAGATACACTCTTGGAATAATCAACCAGTAAACAGAATATCTGGGTCTTTAACTGACATTGTGCATAATATATCTTTTTTTTATGTTAGGTAAAGTATTTATTTAAAAAGAATATCTTGGACAAAGAAGATGAGAAATATTAACATCTTAAAAGATGTAAACATTAAGGAAGATTGGCTAATAAACAGCATCCTTTCTCGAAAACTGAAATATTTTGGTCATTTCAAGCGCCACGACGGATTGGACAAAATTATAGCAGAAGGCATGGTACCAGGAAGGAGGGGCAGGGGCCGACTGACACGAAGATGGGCACAGGATATAAGTGACTCCTTGAGTGTGAAAGTGCATTAGGCGGAAGAATTGGCGAGAGACCGAGTTTCTTTCAGGCAGACTGTGATGAGAGCGACGTTCTGCAAAGGACCCGCTACATGATGATGATATTTTCAAAGTTTGAACAAAATGTAGAATTGCAAATTGTATAGCTTCAGCACCAAACAACATGTTTGTATTTCTAACGTTATTTCAGTTTTAACATATGCGAGTGACAGTTGGAAAACCACTAAAGATACAAAACGAAAGTTAAAGTAATCCAACACAAAAGATAGAAGAAAATTACCAACGTAAGATGGGATGATTTCAAAAAGAGTGAAGAAATAAGAGAAAGATCTGGGCAAGCACTGGTATCAACAGTTATAATACAGATAAGATTTGCTGTATTGGGGATAATCCGAGAAGAGACGAATATAAAAACACTGAACAGGAACTGAAATGTGAAACTGCGAAAAAGAGGACGTCCGAAAGAAACACTAGGGGGAAGGTGGATGAGAGAGGCCAAAGCTGCTAAGCTAGATGCTATTCTTGAGATCGAAATGATTGCACAAGGTAGAACAGAATGGATGGATGGACTGGGAGCACTGCGTGACACATAACAGAACAATGGGTGAGTCAATCAATGCATACAATATGCCCTGGGTGTCGCGGTGGCCTTGCATCTAGACATTCAGCTGCCATCAACAACATCACATCTGTATGGAAATGAGTTTTCTTGTTGTTCTGGTCGACCCAGCCTCAAACTGGTGACATATGGAAATGACTTGTGAAGTAAATACGACAAGGCCATGCTCATTACTCCACTAGTCACGTGCCCCAATCCAACCTACCGCGATCGAAACCCACTGCTGGCTGCGTGGATTTTTATCAAGGTATGGGGCGTCGCTGGTCGACCCAGCCTAAAATGGGTACTAGTATGGCTGTCTTGGGGAAGTAAAGACGGCCGGCGTAATGCTGACCACATTACTCATCCAGTGCCGATTGGTCTGTAAAAATATGGGACGCTTTTCCCATACACCCTATGCGCCTAAGGCGTGAAACTATAACTAGTTATAATACTGGAAGCAAATGGGTTAGAGGGAGTCAAAGATTAACACTTCAAGCATGAGAGTCTTATATTTACAAATCCATGCAAGCCTGTTCATTCGTAATTTAACATTGCTATCACTGACGGTTACCAAGTAACGTGAACTGCCGACCATACAGGTACGTAAGGCATATACTGCTACACATATGATGTGTGTGTGTATATATATAAATATAGGAAAGTTAGACTCCCTCTGCTTTTCTTTCCTTCCAACTTTCCTATTGTTACGCTGACTCCAGTTTTTCTCCTTCTCGTGATATGACCAAAGAAAGTAGACTTCTTTTTGATTTGGGCAATCAGTTCTCGGTGTAAGTTAGTTTCTTTCAAGACATCTTTATTACTCTTCTTTTTCTCCCAGGGTTTCTCATCATTTGTCTATAAAACCACATCTTCGCAGCTTCAGATAAATTATCAATAATCAAAGAAATATTTCATAGAATTGTGTTTTTAGTTCTCGGTAAACAGTATATAATTGACATACCCAGCATACGTTGCGCATAATGATTTAACTCTCTAAACAGTGTCTCATCAATTTATCCTGAACACATTACCACTTTAAATTTATCCTTGTAAACATCATCCCATCAATTTATTTTGCACACATCACCGCTAATAAATTATCTCCTATTTCCACGAACTGGTTCTCACCTTAAACTCATGAGTGGATTTCTGATCGACATGGATGCAGTAGACGTTAGATGAACGATAGACCGCTCGGAACAGACGGGTGAATCTCTGCATGTTCGTGTAGACGATGATGGAGAAGGCAATTGGAAACCTGTTTTCCTCATCTGTAGTAGGAATGTCAAACCCACGAGCCCTGAGCTTACTGCAGTCCGTGTAGTCGAATGTTTCCTCTGTGATGTTCTCCAGTTCTGAAAGAGCTTGCACAGAATCATTCCATTCGTCTGGTGGACCCAAGAAGATGCTGCAGGGAACCTCTTTCACTCTGGGGAACTGTTTGGCCAAAGATAAAATCAGCTTGTTATACATCAATGTCCGATATGTATTTCGGCACACACTGATCAGCACACACCCTGCTGCCAACACTAGGCTACACTTTAGAATGAAACTACAACTGTGCATGACTTTGCTGTTTCCACGCAAGCAACTTACCAATAAACTATGAACACGACTTATGCAAAATTTAACGATGATTTTCTTGCAAAGATGTTTCATTGTCTCTCCGTGGCTCTGATGTTGTTGTTGCTAGTCTGTTGTTTTGTTTTTAACCGCAAATAACACCAACATTAACATGTTCTAATTTATGAGATATGTCAGTATGTATTTAGCATCTACACATATGTAAAACCTTACAGTTTCTAATTTCTGCGCCTTGAAGCTTTTACTTTTTTCAGTGACCCTGCATCCAATTACGTCACCTGGCCCGTGAAAATACATGACAGCAAAGATGTCATAAATAAAATTGTCATTGTCGACCAACGACGGTCGTAGACACCTTCAATTAAAGAATATTTTTTTCCTGGACTGAAACAATTGTCAACAATCCTTGTCGGGTTTCACTACGCAGTGCATTCTGCCTTAGTGCTTTCAAGTGCTCATGGTTTTGTATTTAGTGCACTTCTGCTGCCTACAATTAACTCTTTGAGTCCCAGAAGGTTTAGCATCACAGGCCCAAGGGGAACTCAAGAGACACGTACAATTGGCGTATCTTACGTTCATTGGGCTTCTAGACAGTAACCTATGAATGTATGATGCGTTCCTTGGGACTCAAATAGCTAATTGAGTTGATTTGAGTTGAGTCAAGAATTGACATCACAGTACTCATGGTTTACCCATACATGCTCCATCCTCATCCCCAGCAGCCAGCGTAGAGTTCCAATACTGATGGTACCTGTCACAATCAGGTTATATGTCCGTCTTGCCTTTCCTCTGATTGCAGTGAGCCGGCCCGACCCTCTAGTTACACCCAGGTGCCTCATTCTCTCCAGGTCATAATAATCTTCTATCTCTACTGATTCCGTTGCTTGTTCCCATAGAGCCTTGACTGAAAACAATTAATTTTAGTTAGCAGCCAGATATTTTAAGTTGATGGGTCAATCAACGTCAAGACCAAAAAACAGACATTGACACTTTGTATGACAGATATTTGGTCTCTAATTCGTCACAGTGCGGTTGAGTTTTGTACCACTGTCCCTGGCAAATCGCCTGTAATTGTAAATGCAACGGGTACTTTTGAATTAAGAGTGGAGTTTGCAAAGCATGAGGCTTATATGCTGAAAGTGCGCAGACACACACACACACACACACACACACACACACACACACACATATGTAAGTGTGGTGTATGTATGTGTCTGTGTGTGCTTGTGTGTTTGTTGAATAATACTAACGCCAGCTCAAAACCAGCTCAACAGAAAGTCAATCCCTCGTTTGGTCTCTTCGTTCAACACGACTATCTTTGATTGGGAAGCCAATGAGAGTTGTCGAAGCCTGTTGGGCTCACGCTGAGTTTACCGCTTGGTCCAGGTAGCTCAATGAAGTCCTCAGTCTGTGAGCATTTCCCTTGTGAGACAGCCAAGTGTAAATGTTTGCGTGAGAGTTGGTGGTGTAGCCGCGTCATAAAATGAGGTAGAGCTAATAGCGGGTTGTAGATAACGACATATTCACCATTCTATCACTATATAACCACGAGGTATAAACCAGATCATCTTCATTTGGTGCATTGAAGATTGGCGTGGGCGATCATGCCTCTCCATAATCCGCGATCTTCTGCAGCATGTATCAGTTCAAGTGCTGACACACCTTTATGCCATACAACTAGACAGTCAAGAATATTTTCTCGTTATTTTCCTCAATCCCTCCTTTCACAAATATGTTCCATTTTTGACTCTTCTCATAACAAGGCCGCAAAATGATAACTGTCTCCTTCTGATGTCTGTGATACGTTGTCTTCTGGCTTCCGCCTCTTTCAAAAACTCTTGATTGCTCTTTTTGGCTGCCCATAGTATTTTAAGCATTCATCTATAAAACCACATTTCTGAGGCTTCAAGAAATTGTTTGCCCTGCCTACTGATTGTTATGTTAAAACTGGATGTATGTAGCAAGCAAGAATTCTTTTTCTAACTCTCAGTGACAAGGATATATTGCACAAGATGTTTTTCATTTTATGAAATGCAGTTTTAGCCTATTCTATTATGTTTCTTATATCATTTATGCATGTTCCATTTGACGTTATTTATGTGCCCAGATACTTAAATTTATGTTCTTGTTTAAAAAAAAAAAAAAAAAAAAAAAACATTGACTTTATTACACAGTTAGAAATATTTGTTGTCTTTAAAACAACCATTACTTTTGTCTTTCCATTATTCAAAATGAGACCCATTCTTCTACCAGAATGTAAATCTTTTCCTGCAGTTCTTCTGACTTGTTGCTATCAAGACTGTCATCAGCATAACTTGAATTGTTTATATTGTGCCCACCAACCACAATTCCGGGCATTTCAATTAAAGATCTCATTATTAATCAGAAATCTGGTTTTAAAATAATTCTTTAATTAACCACTCTCCAAAAGCAATGATTAGCACGATTACGTAGTGTATGTTAGTAATGTGTTCGAATCCAGCTTGAAACGGCGATCAAACTTTTTTTTTTTAAGGAGACGCACTAAACGTTTCCTCATATAAACACTTCTCTTGCTGTCCAAGATGGTGACTGAGCAATTATGGGTTTATGCTGTGATGTCGATTCCTAATTCAACATTCAACATTTAATAACATTCCTGTTACGATTTTTTCACATGGCACGCCGGTGTGTTGGGAAATGAACAGGCGGATAGACTGGCTGGCTCGGCACAACTTGGTGGAATACTGATGCATGATAAAGCAGACGTGGTTAGTGCCTTGTGGGAGAGCTTGTACAGTTGGGAGGAGTAGATGGATCACCACATTCTGGTGAGATTGGTGCAGGGTAAGTGATGAGAGGCTCTGGCAAATGCTCGAGGCTCAGAGGAAAGGCAAGACGGACGTTTAATCAGAATGCTACTGGCACCATTATTATCGGAACTCTTCGCTGGCTGCTGAAGATGGGGACGGGGCGCTTATGGGAATGCCCCGAGTTCTGTGATGTCGGTTCTTGAACTAAATCAAATCAACATTCCTATAAACGGATAATCCAGTAAACTTAGTTGTAACATCACAACAAACGAGTTACCATACAGCTTATTTCGGTCCTGTGCCAACAATGAGCACACAGAATGTCCCTCACACTCCCTTGTGAAAAACGTCGCACAGACTGAAGTCTCTGCAAAGCCAGTAACATACCCAAGCATTAAATACATGAGGTAGCTGTATGAAGTGCCAACCCCACTACTAGAAATGCAGTTCATTGTCGACAGAAGCAGCAGTTACAAAAGATCAGCAGTTGCACAGGCAATTATTTGCAAAAGGAACCACCAGTTATGTGACAACAAACCACTTGCCATTTTTTAAATCTGCCATCCACAAGACAAACCAAGCTGGGATCAGTCAAAAAGCATTCACATTGAAACGGCAGCTCATTTGTTTTTTTCTTAAAGCCCGTGCCATGTGCCGTTGGTTGTCCGTAATCTTTGTTCTCGTGTTCTTTTAATCACCTCTGACACAGATGATTCTCCGTTCTGTGAAGCTTGATTGCCCAGCATCTTGTCTCTTTTCCTCTCTTTGCCTTTCTTCAACTCAAACTTTCCTACTGCCTTTTCATGACATGGGCGTCCGTGGCTTAGGCGTTGCAAGTCCGACTCATAATTCCAACGTACCGCGATTGAAACCCACTGCTGGCTGCTGGATTGTTATCGTCGTATGGGACGTCGCAGGTCGACCCAACCTTAAATGGGTACCAGGATGGCTGTCCTTGGGAAGTAGAGACAGCCGGCGTAATGCTGACCACATTATCCACCTAGTGCCGATGGTCTGAAAAAAAAGGGCGCTCTTCCCATATACCCGATGCGCCTAAAGTCGTGAAAATGGATCTTTAATTTTTTTTTTTTTTTTTAACTTTTTATGACATGACCAAAGAAAGTAGATTGTCTGCTTCGTATATGGCAAATCAGTTCTCTCTGTGAGTCTGTTTCTTTTAAGACAACTTGACTCGTTTTATCTGTCTAGGGTATTTTCATAATTTGTCTATTGAACATTTGATCTATCACTCCCTTTTTTCCATTTGAATCCTCTCTTTGTACGATATTTTTGATTTAATTCTTCTGTTTCCATAAAGTACTCAAGTGTCTCGACTATGATTTTACGATGTGGGAGACCAGTATTCTTTGCCAGTTTTTCTCTTTGAAACACATCTTCATTGCATGTTTATTTTAGCCCCCTGTCGTTCTCCTCATTCTTCATGACTTCCATACACTTTCTCACTAACCTTCAGGCCTCAATGTGTCCTTTCCACGAACCAGCTTAGATCTATTTAGTAAGCATCGCTTTAGGGGTCCGCTATGGTTAATATCCTTTAGATGTTAACACCTGGGAATGGCAGTGTAATGGGAAACGAAAAGACAGATAACTGTGTATCTGCGATTGTGTGTGCCTGTGTGTGTCTACGTGTGTGTGTCTGCGAGTGTATCTGTATGTGTGTCTGCGCCTATGTGTGTTTGTGCATGAGTGTATGTATGTCTTCCTATGTGTCCTTGTGTTTGTGTCTGTGGGTGTGTGTTTGTGTGTATGCGTCTTTGTGAGCATCAGCTTCTGCGATTGTGTGTGTGTGTCTGTTTGTGTGTGTCTGCGAGTGAGTGTGTGTTTGTGTGTCTGCGAGTGTATCTGTGTGTATTTGTATGTGTGTCTGCATTTGTGTGTTTTTTTGCATGTGTGTATGTGTGTGTGTCCACGTATGTGTGTTTGTGTCTGTGCCCGTATGTGTGTTTATTTGTGTGTGCGTCTGCGTTTGTTTCTGTGAGTGTGTCTGTATGTGCATGTGTGTATCTGTAAGTATGTGTTTCAAATGTGTGTGTATGTGTGCGTAGGTAGGTAGGTATGTGGGTGAATGGGTGTGTG